GAATAATAATAGTTACTCTCCGTGCCTGCTTCTTGCCAGCCTTACTGGATGCCACAACCTTTTTTTTCTGTGTCTGTCTTCATGAAATTATGCCCTGTTATACCAAATGCTCTGTTGTTATGGGTTTTTTTCATCTTTAAGGGTTTCAGGGCATTACTGTAACTCAAACCCCTTAAAAACATTTGTGAGTAAAGTGCTTTGGGCTGCCTGGCTGGGAGATGTTACACCAGTGCAGAGCATCCTTCTTTCTGATTTGATGGAGGTCCTTCAGGGTTAAATCCTCTTTCTGCCTTTTAAAGAGTGGAAATAACCAGCATGTGAGTGTCCAAGAGCATGGATCAGACTAGTCTGGAAGTGGAAGAAGTTGCAGCCATCTGTGCTGTTGCTGGAGGGAGGCCAACAGCCAAGGGGGACCTCATCCCCCTCCATCCCTGGGAGGTGCCAGTCTCTCTACAGAGCACACTGAGGCCCAGGTGACCCCAGCAGACCAAACTGCTTGGTTTTAGACATCTGAAGCTGTAAAACCAACTTCCACCCCTGTTCTTTTCCCCTGGGCCTGCCCAGCCCTCCCAGAGGGATAAAACACGAGATTTGGAGCAAAGCAGGGCTTGCAGTGGGCAGAGAGAGGCTGCAGCAAAATGGGAGCCATCACCCATCTTCCCTCCACCCTTTCCACCTTCCCAGCCTGATTTTGGGCTTTCTAGGACCCAACATCAGGGACCTGGGACCAGCCTCCCTCACCCTCCTCTACAGCAACTGGAGCGGGGTGAGGCCCCTTCCAGATGGGATCCAGCTGCCTGCAAACATTTCCTTGGGGATGAGAGGACTTGGATCTAGAGCAGCTGCCCAGATACAAACCTCTGATTGCTGGGACGTGATTCACTCCAGCTCTTCCCTGCATCATGCCAGGGATTGGTGGGACCTCGCCATGGCCATGGAATCTCATGGGGTCACAGAATGGTTTGGGTTGGAAGGAACTTTAAATATCCTCTTGTTCCAACCCCTCCTGCCATGGGATCTCTGGTGTCCTGCTCAGGGAGGACTTGGGAATTTAGCTGATCCATCCAACTGATTCCTTTGTAAACTCGGACAGAATGGGGCTGTATCTGCTGTTACCTCCTTCTACAACTCAGAAATTTTATTATCCCCAGAGCCAAAGCTGGTAAAGCTGTGAGATAAAAATGCTATTTCTGCCCAGGATTTCTGCAGCTGCCTCCAAGCATTTGCAGCCACTTTCTAGTTATTAAAGCTCAGCTATGAAGAGCTGTGCTCCTTCAGCAGAGATTTGCCTTTAATTAGCCAAGGATAAAAGGACAGTGGAAGACAACCCCTCTCCTAAGCGGAAAAGGCTCCGCTCTCAAATGCTGCGCCATCGGCGTTTCTGCGGAGGCAGGGAGCAGGTGCCTGGCAGAAGGGATTTGTTCTGCTTCCCTTCCCCTCCCCAAACCTTAACCTCTCCCTGGGTACACAAACGCACCCCTGGGGCCCGATCCTGCCCGGTGCCTGTGGATCTGAGGGGAGGGACGTGCGGGAGGGAGGTCACGGCAGATGCGGGGGCAGCTGGTGGACTGTGCCCAGCTGATCTCCGTGTGGATGTGAGGAGCAGGATGACCTTGGCATCTCCAGCTCCCCAGACCCCGGTGCTGCTCTTGCCAGGAGCTGGTTTGGGCGGCATTAAAGAAGCAGCAAAACCAACTCAGGAGTTGTCGGCAGCCCTGGGGTTTCTCTGCCAACACGGGGGCTGCAGTTTCTGCCCTTGGGTGCCTGTGAACTCCTCTAAACCAACATCCTCCCAAAGACTCCTTTGAGGAGCATCATGGAATTCTGCTGGATCAACACCCTCAGCTCCTGTGCCCACCCAGGGTGGTGAGAGAGCTTTGCCCCAACAAAAGCAAGCCACAGAGAGCAGGAGAGGGGCACACCTTCTGCTGAGCCCTCAGGAAACTTCCCAGATTCCCCAGACCCAGATTCTCTCACTGTTTTTTTAGGATGAAAAGATAAAAAACTGAGGCAGTCTCACTGTGGCTCTTCCCTGGCACAGAGAGGCACAAGGCACTGAGAGGTCCAAGCAGGACCTCAGCACTTCAGGATGAGAAAGGTGCCTCCCCTGGGAAATCAGGGTGACATTGGAACAGGGTGATAGGGGCCCAAACATTGGGGTATATCTAAATATTTGGGTAGAGTTGGCTTTAGTCCTTGGATCTTACTTGTCTGCCCTAATGCTCTGTAGATGTGAGGCCTCAGCAGACTCAGTTCTGACTCTGTAAAATTCAGATTCATGTTTAATACACCCAAATATTATTTCATTTGCCTAACCCCCCCCCTTCCCCCACCCTGGACACCATTCCAGGGTGCAGAGGAGAGCTCTGCTCCCAGAAATAGGTTTTTCAACAGCCGGCACAAATGCAAAGGAGGGAGAAGAAGGAGCAAGGAGGAAGTGGAAAGGAGAGAGAGAGATTGGCCTGATTTCCAGAGCTGCAGGATAAATGTGCCTCTCGGAGCTGTGTACACTCCAAAACTTTGCCTAGAGGTTACCTAAAGATAGACTGTGGGGGCCCCGCTTCACACGCCCACCCTTGCAAATTTTTTGTTCCCAGCTGCCCAGTTAAGGCTCTGTGGAATCACCAGCACTGCAGCAGGGACGGTTCAAATCAGCACCAGCTCCCACCCGAGCCCCACCATCCCAGGCACCTACAGAGCATCACCAGGAGACCAGCAGCATCCTGAGCAGGGGATCATTTTCCCTTTCCTTCTCTCAACAACCCTCACAGCTCCAGCCCAGGAGGTGCTTTCAGGGTTCGAGCGCCCACTTTGCCAAATGGAAGCGGACTCGCTCACAGCTAAAAACTCCTGCTGGTCTCAGGGAAACGTGCCCTGGGGTTTGAGCACCCCAAGCTTTCAAGAAGTAGCACAGGTAATGCTTTCTTGGCACTTGAATCCTTGCCTTTCTCAATGGAAATGAGCAGGATTTGGAGGGATCCAGCCCCTCAGCAGGGAGAGGAGCTTCTGCAAAGGTGTGTGGTGTGGTCTTCCCACGACCGGGAGCATCACTGTGCCACCTTGGAGGTCTCTGACTTATGAGCTCCAGAGCGGATCCATGAGGAATTTCATGGGGTTTTGGTTGGCACAGGTGACACTCAGCAAAGAAAGTGGCAGAAAGTAGGTCAGTCAGCACGGGCAAAACCAGCCAGGCTGCGCTGAGTGGGACCAGCCGCTCTCTGCAGCCAGGAGGGCAGGCTGGGAGCCTCCAATCTGGGCAGGAAAGAGCTGCCCAGGCATGGGGAGGTCTCCCGTTGGATGGGGGGATTCTTCCATCCTCCCCTGAGCTCCTCGAAGGGTGTGAAAGCACAAGCAGGTCGGCTGGAGGAGGCGGCAACACCCCGATGACATCTCCCACATCCTCGGAGCGTGGCCAGGATGGTGCCACACGCTGGCATTCCCACAATTTAAAATAATTACCGAGTCTCCCTCACAGCATCCTCCTGCCGCAGCTCTGGAGAGCCTGTGCAGAGCAGATGGTTCTGCAAACTACTTGTTCCACTTGGTGTTTAGGTATTTATGGGCCCACAACCAACAGGACACTGAGAAGGGAAGGGTTTGGCATCTGCCAAACCGGCTGGAGCATCTTCTGGGCTTGGAAATGGGGCTGAGAAGCACAAACTGGTCCAGTTTGGGGGCTGCTTCCACTCAGCATTACGGCAAACACGGACATTTTGTTCAGGGTGCATTGCCCATAAATGCTTCTGTTAATTTTTTTGCTCTTTGATGGTTTTCTGTACTTATATGTTTGTAACTGGCTGCTCTTAAACACTTTCTCTCCCCCCAACAACATCCATCCATGGGTTCAGCCACCCCTTCATGCATTTTCATTGTCCTAATATTAAGATCTGCGATTTGCTGGGTCCTTGGAGGCAGCTGAGGAAGTTGTTAAGGACGGGGAAACTGAGCCTGGGATGGGACATGACATCCCTGGGTCACACAGTGGCCACGCTGGCACAAGTGACACTTGAACCCAAGACTCTGAGCCCCATACCAGGGGCTTCTCCATGACCAGTGTGAGGGGATTTGGGGTAGGTTGAGATGGAGGTTTAGCACTAACTCTTGGTTTACCACCTCCCAGAGCTGAGCAGGACCAACCCATCCATGAGAGATGGAGACCTCTTTGGTCTCTTGTGTTTCATCTCCATCCCATGAACACAGGTAGGGGGGTAACCTCGGCTCTACCCTGTAAGAAAGGGAACCCAGAGCAGCCATGCTGCCTGTGAAAGCCACCAAGCAAATGGATAAACCCCCAAACATGAGCACCAAGGGCCCCCAAAGCCTCCCCTGCCCTTTGCTGCCCCAAGACACTCATAGGAGAGGAGAAAACAGCAAGAGAAAATATTGTTACAGCTGTTCCCTGGGGATGGACAAACAAACCATTCCTCTGCAAGATTCCATTCCCCTCTAGGAGACATCTCCAAGGATACAAGGCCTGTAACCCTGCAGAGGATATGCTACCAGCACCATCCCTGCCTATTTGCTTCTCCCTCTTCCAAGAGGAACCATCAGGTTAAAAACCACCCTTTGGGTGCCCACAAAGCTTCCAAGAGCAGGTTTATCCCCCAGCAGCAGCCATTCTCCATTACCTTCATGGACATGGCTGATATCCAAGCTGGAGGAGTGGAGAACGATGGGGAATGCAGGTTTGACCCCTCTTCCAGCCCCCTCCCCTGGAGCTGGAATCCTTTTTGGAGCAAATCCCGTGGGAATGCCGTACACACCATGCAGCGTGTCCGTAATCCTGGAGTCTATCACCAAGATCCATCAGCTCTTCCCTGAGCATCTCCCCCTCCACCAGCCCCTGCAAACTGGCTGATGTTGGAGCACAAACTGATTTTTCCGTGGCTCAAACTGATTATTTCTCTTCTCACAGAAGGTTTTAGTTGTAGATGAAAACACATCAAAAATACAACCACTCGTCTTTTCCTCTCCCACCCTCCACAGAGCCGATATCAAACTCCTCAATAATATACATATTTATTTTCTCTTAATTAGTGCCAATATTTACAAAAATCGTGATACTTTGTGAAGAATAAATTATATACACTCATGATAAACCAGACAGCAAATGCTCATTTGGGATATGTATGTACACAGATCTATATACCTATATACAACGGGCAGCCTTATTGACTCGGGGGCCCCTCACCCCTTTCCACCCGACCCCCCAGACACCCCCCCAGTCAATAAGAGCAGGAACGTCTATAAACACTGTGCAATTCAGGTACAGCTGGTGTCTAAATTTTTTGTCTAGCAAACGCATGGTTAAATGACTTGAAATTCCTCCCAGTTTATAGGCCTCTCTCCATTCCTGGTCCCATTTCTCCCGTAACCATGGAAACAAAAGGTTCAGCTCCAGCATCCTTAGGATGAGTCCTTCTTGGATTTCCTCTTCCTATCGATTCGCTCGAATTAGGCACCACATGCAGGGTTGATCCAATACCCATTTTTTTCCCCTTGCTGTTTGGGGATGACATTGGAGGACAAGAGCGTGGTCTCAAGCAATGAGGGAGCGAGAGCAAACCGGTAATTACAGTCTTATAGGCAGCAGAAGATATTAAAAAATAATAATAATCAAAAAAAACCCCAAACCCCAAAAGACCAACCCCAAGCTCAGGACAGCCAGGCAGGGCTGGGGAGGGGACGCAGTACCTCGTGTGTGGCCCTTGGGTGGTTACACAATGTCCAGCAGCTCCTACAAGCCAAACCATCCCCTCTCCGGAGGAAAAACACGGATACGGAATTTCTCTCTCATCACGCACGGCTGGGCTGGGGGATCTTGTCCCTGGGTATAAATCAGTGCTGTGCTCCCAGGGAGGATCCACATCACTGGAGGCTGGTCCCTCTCCCCTCGAATGGGATGCGGCAGGGTCGGAGAGCTCCGTTCTGAGCAGGGGGATGGAATTTGGGCAGTGACGTCACAGGGACACTGAGGCCACGGGCTGGGGAAGGGCAGGGCTCTGGCCAGAGGCTGGACCCTGGGGGAGACCCGTGTCCCCCTTTGGGCCTCCTGGTATTGGCAGCAGCTGGTGCCCAACAGGAGCAACCGAGGGATGTGATAGATGTGGAGAAGGTCAGACGCTGCCAGGGGTGCAAAGAGAGAGCCATAGCCTTATTTTAGGTGCACAACAAAATGCTTTGGGGCTGACTCCTTTCTTCTCAGCCCTTTTTACCCTGGCAGCACACTGACCAGCTCCCATGGATGACCACCATGGAAAACTACCATGGATAACCACCACGGACAACTATCATAGACAAAACTACACCCCTGGGTGTAGACCTTGAGAGAAGGTTTCAAGGCCAGGTTGGACGGGGCTTGGAGCAACCTGGTCTAGTAGAAGGTGTCCCTGCCCATGGCAGGGAGTGGCCTTTAAGGTCCCTTCTAACCAAACCCTTCCATAATTCCATGATAACCCTACCCTGGCTCCAAATAGGAGCTACCACACTGGGACCAAAAGTTGCCATAGTTCAAGGGACTTAAATCCACCCATTAAAAAAAATAACCTCAAAACCCCACCTGGTGCAGCACAGCACTTGCATCACCACCAAATACCTTCAACTTCTCCTTGGCTTTCCCTGCACACTCACAGAAATGGTCATGATGGGCCCAAGGTGGGGATTCAGGATCAGGAGCAGAGACTGCTGGTTTGCAGAGGGTTGCAAGGAGATGAACGTCCCCAACCCCTTGGGAAACTCCTGCTTCCAAAGCCAAATCCAGCTCTCCTTCACTTGGACCCATCCCCAAGTGTTTTGCAAGCTCTGGGAAAGCTACAAGATTTTGGCAGCGATTTCAAGGGCTGACCCAGGAATTATCTGATAACAAAGCAAGGCCCTTCCTGAAATATCTCCTCCTCCTCTGTCTTTTTCTCTCCTTCTGTGTATTTATGCACAAATATGCCCATATTTATACACCCACGTGCCACACTCTCATCACGCCAATCTAGAGATCCTCTTCTTCTTATAGCTCACTATTCAAATCTGGAGGACTTGGACACAAAATTTCTCTGCAGAGATTAATTTTTCCAATAAAACACAGATCATTTTTTCCTAATCACATGGTAGCATCCAGCTGGTATTTGAGCCTCACCCATTGCTCTTAGCAGAGATTTTGGAAGATATTAAAGGGTTGATGGGTTGCTGGAAGGCTTGGGCATGAGGTTGGGTGTAGAAGACAACCCACATTGTAATCCCAGTTTTCCATCTCTCCAAAACTGTGGCACAAAGGATAATCTAAGAGAGACATGCTCTCTCCTCCAGGAGCACCTCCACAGACCAGAGAGCTCCAGTCCTCCATCCCAACCCTGCAGAGAGGCAAATTTCTCCTCAGGAGGAGGAAAGGAACCAGACCACCTCCACTAAGCGGCCTCATGCAATCAAACATGGATGGTGGGACACCCCCCCTTTCCCGGTCCCTAATTTAGCATCCTCAGTCTGAGCCATTCTGCAGCTCATTTTTGCACCCTTTCAGAGTCAAGAGGAGGTTGGGGTGCTCAGCATCTCCACAGAAACAGGCCCAGAGCCTCTGAAACCAAATTCCTTGAGAAAAAAAAATAAGAAAAGGAAAAAATATCACATTCTCCTCCCGAAAAACTGGTTCAAGATCACATCAGTGAGTCAGAAGCAAAGCTAGAAATAGCACTAGAGCTCCGACCTGCAGGCACAAATCCCATTAAAAGCTATAGGAGAACCATTTCTGTGTGCAAGGGAGAAATCTGGACCCCTCTGCTTTGTGCAGACGGACAGATCCCTCCCAGCCACGGCCTCCCCCGACCTTTCCCACCCTGAACAAACATCTGAGCACTGATCTGGTTGGTTGCCCTGTTTCCCAAACAAGTGCAGAACAGAGCCAATCCCCCACCAGGGCTTGTTTTCCCCAGGAACCTCTGCTGGGGTCAGTGCAAGAGGTGCAGGATCTGTCCCAAGGAAGGACTGGCTGTGCCAGCCCTGCCGTGGGGACAGATGTCAGCACACATTGGTGACAACAGGAGAGTGGCCTCTTGCTCTTCGGCCCCATTTTTCACTGGAATGCACCTCTGGGGCTTCCAAAGGCAGCTGGGCCCCCCAGTTTGGTGAGAAGGTTTGGATGTGACTGATCCTGCTCACGGATCCGCTCTCCCCTCCCGCCCGGCCTTGGAAAGCCCACGAGAACAATATTCCCAAAACACCACCTACCCAAAGGAAAACACAACCTTCTTCCTCACCAACCCACAATGGCACTCACGCTCCCAACGTGCACCCAAGGCTTTGGCCAACCATCCCAAACCATCCCAAGCTCACAACCAGGCACTTTGCCAAGTCTCACCGACTGACAGAATCCCAAAAAACGTGCAGCAAGACCGGGAATGGGATCACCAGCTGTGGAGGGACCCAGAGGTGGGTGAGCAGCATCCCAGCACATCCAGCAGCTTCCCTGTGCAAGCTCATGTCTCCATGGACCCACCAGGAGCTGGATCAATGGAAGTTGGCTGACTGCCCCGGGAATTGTGCCCAAGCTGGAGACTCCTGCCAGCCCTGCCCCATCCAACATGATGAGCTTCAGGAGTCAAAATTTATTGCTTTTGATTGTGTTGATTTCTGGGGGGGGGAGGGTTGGGGGGTGTGTGGGTTTCAGAAGCTCCCGTTCCCAAGCTGCTGCAGGAAAGTGGGAGCAGAAGGCTCCCAATATAATGAGATGAAAGAGGGGTTGGGTGCCCCGTGGTGCTGAGCACACTGAGCCCCAACCCCTGGATGCTGCTGGTCCTTTGCCCCAAACAGAAGGCAGGACTCTCGTGCACAAGCCATGGTATTAATTATAGCCAGGCCGGAATCAATCAACCAACCAAGCCAACAAAACTGAGGAGTGTTTCCACCTGGCTGAAGGAAGCCACATCAGCACAAGATCTGGCCCCAGAGCATCATTTGGAACCATTGCTGTAGAATATGTTAGCACCGGTTGGTTTATTGTTATTTAGTAGAGTTTTCCTCTCTGAGCTCAGGAAGGGTCTCTGACCTCCCCCATATGCTCTGCCAGAGGATTCCTTCCTTGTGCCCACACTTCATGCAGTGGTACAGCACTGACTGTGCCCCAATTCAGCCCAAATTCACCCCAACTGAACCTTGTTCCACAGCCCAGGGAGGCTTTGATTGACCACGACCTTGACAGAGATTTTCATCCCTCTCCCCTGACCTATCAGAGGAACAGGACACCTGTCCCTGGGGATTGTCAGCAATGAGGGAGACACAAGGAAACCCAGACGGGAATGGGGAAAGCAGACAAGATCCCCCTGGATCAACAGCTCCCATCCCCAAATACCAGCAGGGATGAAGAAGCAGAGACAAACTCAGGCTCTCTGCACCCCAACTCACTGCTCTAAAAACCTTGGAAGAAGGTAAAGCAAAGGCTCAGAGGCACCAGCTCAGATCCAGCCCACCCCCAGCACATGCCCTCTCCATCATAAAGAAATAAACCCCCAGCCCTAGGGCTCTGTGTGGTTGAAAAAGAGTTTTCCAACCCAAAACACGCCCTGCCCCGGTGATCCCGTGGGCTCCACGGGGTAGGTCATCCTGCTCCAACCCGTGTCCCACCATCCCAGCACCCCTAAATCAGGAAATCCCCGATGCCCCAAGAGCTCTGTTTGCTGAGGATTCGGCCCTGTAGTCGCTCTCTAAATATCTACATACACACACACAAGAATTATACAGGAACGGCTGAAAACTGCTGAACAAACAAGCCAAGAGAGCAATTCCACCTGCTCCTGGTGCCCTCTCTGATCCTCCGTGGTTTCTGCTCCTGACACCAAGATTAATGACTAATTACTCGCCCCATAATGAGTGCAGGTGTTTAACTTTCAGCTCACCTTCCGTTGCACTAGTTGGCTCTTGGGTCTGAATGCTCAGACACTCAGGCTTTGCCTTGTTACCTATCCAACTGTTGTCAGCACATGCCTTCTCCATCCTGTTTTTAACTATAGTTGGGATTTTTGAACTCCCATGAATCTCCTTTGAGCCACCGGAGAATCTATAAACACTATAAACATGAATATTGTATAGTCTACTAAGAAAATATATATTTGTGTGTGTATTAAATATTCAGATTCATGCAACAAATATCCATGCAGCTGTACTGTATTACTGGTTAAATTTCACTGCAGTATAAATATATTATAGGCCACAGCATAGTTGCTCCAGTTTTATATATAGATGTAAAAAAAGATGCTTTTTCCAACTCATTTTCAATATATTAGTGGAGATGTCTTTGGTGAGCCTGGAAATATTAGGGATGGAAGTGTTATCTGAAGAAATACTAAAATCCAAGCGCTTGATTTATTTACCCGGCCCTCCCGATGCCTGGCACAGAAAATTTAAGACTTAATAAATAATGTGCTGTCACACTAATTATCCCTCCCCTGGGCCTCACACTGGCACACTGCAGTGGCTGAAACTATTGCAGCATGCAGCATTTTCAGTTATGAAACACGAGCCTGGGCGACGCGGCCGGGCTTGGCATTCCCAGGGTGGAAACCTGAGCCTTCCAGCAATCCGGACACTCGCCCGCATCGTCCCTTCAGCAAGTTCTGCCTGACCTTTCCCAGCCGTTCCCTGGGAGGTGGTCGTCACCCCGGACAGGGATCTGGCACAGCCTGGAGCTGCCCCTCGTATCCCCATCCTGCTGCTGGAAATACCTCCCATATCTTCGGAAACCCACAAGCCTGGGATGGGAGAAGGGCAACAAAACGGTTTGGGTTTAGTTTGTCGGTTTGTTTGTTTTTGTGGTTTGTTTTTTTTTTTGCACAGACGCTTATTCAGTGTGGAAATAGAAGGTTAAAAGTAACTTACACAGCTATTGCTTCCCATGCAGAACCAAATATACACCGTAGAAAATACTGTGTTAACTACAATGCAGAGCAGCACTCAATATCTGCAATTGTTCCACTTCAGCTTTAAATACATTACTAGATTTTAGCTACTAGACATCGGTTAGCATTTTGGTGATATTCACATAGTTTGTGTTAGCTAGGGTGCAATTGGCTGTCTTCAAGTTCTCCTCCCTAAAATCCTCATTGCTATTGTTTACGCCTTCCTGAATCTCCATATAATCAGACTTACTAATAGTAGAGGCACTTCTGCTTTTCTTTAGGTCAGGGGAAGAGGGGATCTTTGGGCAGCTGGTTACTTGCAGATATTGAGCCTGCTCCTCTCCCTCCGTCTCCCGGTGGTAGAAGTAGTTGAAGTTGGACACTATGACGGGCACTGGTAAGGCAATCGTTAATACGCCGGCAATGGCACACAAGGAACCCACTATTTTCCCCCCGATGGTTGTGGGGACCATGTCTCCGTAGCCAACAGTCGTCATGGAAACCACAGCCCACCAGAAGGCGTCGGGGATGCTCGGGAACTGGGACTCGCTCTCATCGGCCTCGGCGAAGTAAACGGCGCTGGAGAAGAGGATGACGCCGATGAAGAGGAAGAATATCAACAGGCCCAGCTCCCGCATGCTGGCCTTGAGAGTCTGCCCCAGGATCTGCAGCCCCTTGGAGTGCCGGGAGAGCTTGAAGATCCTGAAGACCCGCACCAAGCGGATGACTCGGAGGATGGCCAAGGACATGGCTTGCTGGCCTTGCTGGCCATCCTCTGGCTTCTCGGCCAGCTCTGTCCCTAAGGTGATGAAATAGGGGATGATGGCTACGATGTCAATAATGTTCATGATGTTGGTAAAAAATCCAGCCTTGCTGGGGCAGGCGAAAAACCTCACCAGGAACTCGAAGGAGAACCAGATGATGCAAAGTGTCTCCACGATGAAGAAGGGGTCTGTGAAGGAGGTGGACTGCTGGTACCCCATGCTGCTGTTGGAATAGGGGAGGTGGCTCAGCCCGCTGCCATGCATGTCTTCATTCTCATCCCGAAAAATGGGCAATGTTTCCAAGCAAAAGCTGACGATGGAGATTAAAATCACCATGACGGAGACAATAGCTATAATCCTGGCAGGGCCTGAGCTCTCGGGGTACTCAAAGAGCAGCCACACTTGTCTCTGAAACTCGTTCTCAGGCAATGGCCTCTCCTCTTCTTTGATGTAGCCCTCGTCCTCTCGAAACATCTCCATTGCCTCTTCCCCCAGTTCATAGAATCGAATCTCTTCCGAGAAGATGTCCAAGGGCACATTAACCGGCCTCCTCAACCTCCCCCCAGACTGGTAATAGTACAAAATCGCATCGAAGCTGGGCCTGTTCCGGTCAAAGAAATACTCATTCCGGAGAGGGTCGAAATATCTCATCCTCTTTTTAGGATCCCCTAATAAGGTCTCTGGGAACTGGGCGAGCGTCTTGAGCTGCGTCTCGAAGCGCAGCCCCGAGATGTTGATGACCACCCTCTCGCAGCACTCATGGTCGGTCTCAGGGTTATACGTGTCCTGCGGGTGACCGGGAAGAGCTGCAGCTTCATCTGCAGGATCTCCAGTAGCAACTGTCATATTGGGGTTTCAAAGAAATCCTTATGCTAAACTCTTCCCAGGACCCAGTGGTGGGATCAGGTTCAGGGCAGGGCTACTATCCTGCAGAAGGACAGGTACGTAGGGTTGAAAGAGTCTCATGAAAAGGCAAAGGGATGAGATAAAAAAAAAAAAAAGAGGAAACAAAAAATTTAAAAAAAAAAAAAAAAAGAGAAAGAAAATCACCCCTGCTGAGAAAGAGAGAGATGGAATAAAGTTGGGGGGAGGAGAGCAGATCCCTTCGCTAGCATGTCTATGCCCTTTCTTGTGGGGTTAATTTGCCTTCTATGATACAGAGTTCAACAACTCTCATCTAAACCCATTAGGTGGAACAGAGAAAACACCTGAGGAACCATCACCTGTTCAAAACCAGCACGGAAAAACTGGCATTGGCAAAGCAGGGCTTTTTTTTTCTTGGCTAAAAATCAAAATTCCAATTAAAAAAAAAGAAACCAAAAACAAAGAGGGGGAAGGGAAGAGAAAGGAAGGGAGAAAAATAACCCCATCCAGCCCTAAAGTGGCAAGGGGACCCCAGGGGGTGCCGGGCTCAGCTCATTCCCAGGCATGCAGTGAAGGGTTAATTAACATTTAACCGTGCGATCTCAGGCAATCGACCCTCCAGAAAAACTCGAACTCGGCTTTTAACACCTTCCCAATCCTCTTGCCCTAGCCACGAAGCAGCGGCTCGGCGACATGCTGCCCTCCCTGCCTGCAGCCAAGCTCTGGAATGCGGAGCCAGCGATTCCCCGTGGACCACCGCAGTCCCCCTCCTCGGCCGCTGGTGTCCCGGCTCCTGTCATCCTTTGCAAACCACCATGGCACACAGAAAACAAATCACATTACCTGGAGAAGCCAAATCTTAGTCTCTTAGTAACACCGATTATCTGACCCCGGGGAAATCCTAGAGAGAAATACAGGCTTCCAAGATCCCCATAATTTCCTCTCTCTTCAAAGTTAAAAATAATGGTGAGTCATCGTAGAAAAAGGAGAAGGGACATAAGAGGGGTTAAATTCCCAGATGGTGGAAGTCAGGTCTTGTAATGGTTTGGACTGGAGAGAGAGAGAAAAGAGAGACAGAGAGACAGAGAGACAGAGTCTTCCCGGGAGCTGTTGCAGATATGCACTTCAGGGCAGATGAGCGTCTGTCTGATGCCTTTGGTACGACGGTGAAAAGCTGCTAAGCTCAGCAAAACCCGATGTCTCCAGTGTCCTCGGGAGGTGTGGCATCGCCTGGAAAAAACACCGAGAAGGTAACAAGCTGCTGGACGTTCCAGAGGAGCATCTGCAAAGCCGCGGCTCCTCCGGGTACCCCTTTTTTTCCTCCCCGCGAGCTGTTTGCCCGCTGCTCGCCCGCCCCGCACTGCAACGCGAGCCGAGGGCGAGAGCGCGCTAGAGCCAGGGCGGAAAAAGCCAGAGCCCAAAAAGCCAGAGCTCCATCTCCCTGCGCTCCGCTCGGCACCGCGGGGCCGCTGCCCGGGGGAGCCGGTGCCAGGCGCAGGAGGGGGGGGAACGACGCAGCCCCCCCGCCGCTGAGGCTCTGCAAAGCCACGGAGGGTCCCCACCACCGCCAAGCCCACGGGGCACGGCACCCACCGGGCACGGCACCCACCGGGCACAGCACCCACCGGGCACAGCACCCACCGGGCACGGCACCCACCGGGCACAGCACCCACCGGGCACGGCACCCACCGGGCACGGCACTCAGGGCGCTGCGTCGCGTCCCCCGGTAATTCGGTAGGCTCCGGTTTCATCCACCAGATCGAACCCCCCCAGCGGTCCCTGCGTGTCCCCCTTCAAGGCCCCCTGCCCCCCGCTGGCAGCTCCAAGGACCCACACTGTAGGCCCCGACCCACGCGACCTCCATCCACCCTCCCCGTCCTCCCAAAAGCCAACGCTCCCCCCCGGCCGACCCACCCCCGTGGGAATTCGACTCCGCCGGGTGAAATTTCTCCTGGGGATGTTGAGGCTCGTGTCCCCGGTGGGTGCCGGATCCTCACATCCCTGCTCCCGGCGAGTGCTCCTCCGGATCATCCTGCATTGCCTCGCGCCACGGAGATGCTCAACCCGGGGAGGCACAACCAACCTCTCATTTTTGCTTCCTTTTTTTTTTTTTTTTTTTTTTTTTTTTTGTTTCTCCCCTCCCAATGAAATAAAAACCCCTCTAACCTCCCTTCTTCAGCTCCAACTCGACTTGTCTACTTTGAGCCAGGATTACAGAAATGGGTAGGGGAGGCAGGTGGAAAATAACCCCGCGGTGCCAATCTCCTCGGCGAAGATTTCAGCCGGCTCCAGGCCATTTATGCCCGTTGGTTCCTCTCTTCATCCCCTGAGGTGCAGATATTGCCGCAGATCCCTCTTTTCTTGGAAATTTCCCTTTTCCGTGCAACCCTCCTCTCCCTTCTCCGTATGCACTAGAAAAAATAGTACAACCCTGACGAGGCTTGCAGCATTCAACCGCTTTTCTTAACCCTTTTCTGCCAGGCCCAGAGGAGGGGAGGTCACATTTGTCCCAGTTTTTCTCCTTTTCCTGCATCTGCCTCCCCACCACTCGCTCCCCAGCGACTCACTCGGGAGTTTAGCTGGATTTGACCTTCCCTGGCTCCTCCAAGCATCATACCAGAACACCACAAACACCATCTTTCTGCTCCTGCAGGAAAGGTCCGGCAGCCACAAATGCCCATGTCACCAAAAAATCAACCAACCTTCAAGATTTTATTTATTTTTCTAATAAACAATCAGGTTTTTCTCCTGTCCGTAAATTCTCTCCTCCCCTTCCTCCCTTTCCAAAACACCTCGAATTTGTTTAACAGCACAGAGATTTCCTTTTTTTTCTTATTTTAACAGGTTGATTTTATTTGTCATGGGCTCTGGGCTTCTTTCTCTGACTCCAAGCAGTGATGCTCAATGGAGAGGGTTACGACATCGTCTGAGTTGACATCACCTATCCCAGTACTCAGTTTCTCCTACTTTCTCCCCATCACCTGCCTTCCTGGCAAATAACCTCCGCCCCCCTCCCCCCCAAGCATTTTTAGGGTTAATTCATGCAAATTTAGGAGGTGGGGGGATGGAGGTGGTGAAGATTTGCCCAAAGCCCCGGAGTTCTCTCCCTGCCCGCACTGCAGGCAGGAGCCATGGCTGCGTCTCGGAGGGGTGAGATTTGGGGTCGTGTTTGCGTCTAAAATCAAAAGTCCCTCCTTTTGCACCGTTCCTGGCCAGGATTATTTAAGCAGGGGAGCAGCGGGAAGAGGGGAAGGATGCCGGGATGGGGGGGGGGGGGAGAGAAAAAGGCACCAACTTACACTGGGTTCTGCAGTCAGGCATGCAGCGAATGCACAAGCAGCTGCTCCGCGCCACTGCCGGCACCTCTCACCCCCGGCCCCCCAAACTCTACCCCGGACTCAACCTCCAAAGCCAGCAAAGCTTCACCGTGAATATTCATAAGATTAATACGAGCGTCTCCCCCCCTACCCACTTCCCCCCCACCCCGCACCCCTCCTCCCAAGCAAGAGACCTAGATTTCAACCACTGGGAAATAATCATATCCCTGGATACACGATGCTGCTTTACCATGCGGCTCCAATCCATACCATAGCCCTGGTAATAGCCTGGATCTGCTGGGGAGAACGGGGGGATGGAGAAGCAGCAGCTCCCTGCAGCTCTGGGGAAGGAGATGGGGCAGGACCGGACTCTCTGCTTTGCCCTTGGCTGGGGTGGGGAACGTGAAAAGCAATTATTTTGTATCCCTTTGCCTTTACTGAGGTCCCTTCGCGGGGAGGCTTCTCCCACCCCAAAGGAAGGACATGGCCAAGCTCCTACAAACATATAAAACCTATGGATCAACCCCTGCCTTTAGGCACAAGGGAGATGCATCTGCTTGGACCCCTCTGCCATCCCCTCGTGGTCCCACAAAAAGCATCAGGGAGTCCCACAAGGCTCCTGAACACCCAGAAACATGAGCGCTGGAGGAGGGAAATGGGGGATGTTTCTCTTCCCATACACAGTGGTCAAATTTGTATGGAGCAATTTCAGACAGTGATCACTCCAGAGACACCCTAAGGTGGGATGGAGGGCGTGGACTCCCCTGAATACTGGAGCAAATCAGTGCTCGGTGTAGTGCCCAGTGATCCGGGGGGATATGGGGATGTGGGGACATTATTTTAGCTCCCTAAAGGTCCCAGAGCAGCAGGAGGCACAGACAGAGAGCGGGTGCAGCACTGGGGGATGCAATCACTCTTCATCCTGAAACAAAAATTGTATTTCCACAAGCCCCAGCCAGATCCCAATATCGAAAATTAATGTCTAGCCCTATGGAAAAACTGTGAATCCTTTGCAGACAGCCCTGGCACTCCATGTTTCCCTCCTGCAGGCATCCAACTGGGAAGGAGGCTACTCTGGGTGAGGGTTTTTAATGTCATCTGCAACATTTTAGCCTTTTCTGAAGGCGGATCTGCCAGAGTAGGGTAGGTTGAATCCAAAAAATGACTTGCCCCAGGCTAATCTTTATGCAATATGCAGAAACTGAGGCTGGGCAGGGAACAATTCCAGTAGAGCTGAAATTCCAACTTTCTCTTCCTGCTGTCTGCAATAGCAGGGGGAGTTTGTCCCCTAAACAGCACCAGCTCTGAACAAAGAGCCAAACTCCAGAAAATCAGGGGAATTTCTCCAGAGTGAGTGATGTTCTCTCCTCATTTACTCTCCTAATTGTGAAGCTGTTATTGTCTGTGTGTCTGCACTCACCTCCTCCAGCCACGCTCACTGCTCCAGACATATCCCAGCCCTTTGGAAAACTGGAGTTCTGCACCCACTTGGCTCTTTCCCAAGGATTTAACCAGCCGACGTCTTTGCATCAATATTATTATGAAATAATAATTTCCTTCTGAATCATTTCCATCTCAATGGATTTTATAGACACCCAAAGTGGAAATCTTACCCCATCTGCGTGCGTGCTGCTGGGAAAGGCACTTTGTGTCCTGCTGGGGACACCATCCCACCTCCTGCAAAGCCAGAGGGACTTCAGGGCTGGAGCAGATGCCAACAGCCACGCCAGAAGGAGGATCCCCCGTGTCCCAGGGACAGGAGATTCGGTATCCAGGTCCCATCAGGAAACACATGATCTCTCTTTGTTTCACTGTCTTTATTCCCAGGGAAGCCCTCAAGGCTTCAGACCATCTGTTTGTGAGTTTGCAGACCACCTACAAATAGAAAAAATGTGCTTTTTCCCACCTTTCCCCCCTCCCGTATCCGGCTGGTGGTGGGTGGTGCGCTGGGAGGTGCTCTGGGATGTGATGCTGTGAGGGATTTATTAAAACCACAGGGCAGGGTTATCCTCAGGACTGGCCTCATCCAGAACAGCAGTCAGATTCCCAGTGCCAGTGTCACTGGGAGACCAGACTCATACCCAGCCCCATTTCCCAGGGTGGGCACCTGCAGATGCCAAGGGCAGGGGTGGGAGAAAGTCTCCAAAGAGGACAGACCCTGTCCCACCACCTGCACACCTGCATAGCCCCAGATGGTCACATCTCCCCGTGGTGTCACTCCTGGGGACCCCATCCCAGCCCCTGCAAAGGCAGAGGGACTGTGAGGGCTGGAGTGGATGCCAGCAGCCATCCCAGAAAGAGCATCCAAGCTGGACCAAGGCTCGCCCGTGGTGCCCAGCGAGGTTGGACAGGGCCAGTCACTGAGCCCCATCTCCATCCCAACCACGGCTTCCCAGATGAAGGGGTTGACAGAACTGGGCCTTGTGTCATTTTAGGAGCTGTGAAAGCTGTGAGTGAGTTCCCAGGACTGTGAGCCACCTCCAGGGAAAGCATCTGACCTCCCACACACTGCCAACGTCAGAGGATGGAGCTCTCAGACCTCCAGCACCCCCTCACCCACCCCTTCGGGTGGTGACGAGAGGAGGGGACGCCAAGAGACATGGGTGACCCCGATATGGTGGCACCGTGTCTAAAAATGAACAGCCTGGGAACAAAGTGACACAGCCCCACGGAACAGGAGAGCTTCCATAGCAGATGCTGCTGGTGAATCCCAAAATACTGTGATGAGAGAGGTCAGAGCAGCTTCCCCCACCCAGGGAGACAGGGGAAGGTTTGGGGCTTTGCCTGGAGTGATGTGGGGAAGGAGGAGCAAAGCAAAAAAAAGATGCTGGGCGGGGCTCCTGGTCCCTGGGAGAACCCTCTGGATCCTGGGGGGGTTTTCTGGGGAATCCCCTGGATACTGGGAGGATCTCCTGCAAAATCTCTTGGTTCCTGGGTGAATCTTCTGGTCCCTGGGAGAATCCCCTGGATACTGGGAGCATCTTCTAGAGAATCTCCTGGTCCCTGGGAGAACCTCCTGGATACTAGGAGGAACTCCTAACCCCTGGGAAAATCTCTTGGTTCCTGAGAAGATCTTCTGGTCCCTGGGAAGGCACAAGAGCCAAAGGAAAACCAGCAAAAATCACCTATCTACAAAGTTAACATTAAATACCTTCCCCTTCTGTATTTCTCCAAGTTTTTTTTTAATAACAAAATATCCAGTTATTTAAAAATAACTCCTTTGGGTTCAGTCTGAATTCTCAGTTGGTCAAGGCCACTGAGTTGCTGGGCCTCCAAAGATGCTCCACCAGCCTGGACAGAGCATCCTGGACTGGAGAGGAGCTGGGCACTACTCATTGAAATAAAAGTCTTTTAGCTCAACCAGAACATGGTAAAAAGAACTTCAGCTCTTGAGATGACTGTGAATATTTCATGCCATGGAGCAGCTGCTCCAGCAGAACTAATGGATCTGGGCTGGCACAGGGTGGGCGTCAGGCCTGGAGGGTGTCTCCCACCTGAGCTGCTCCAACCTCTTCAGTTAAAAGGCTCTCAAAGCCACTTTATTTCACTTGCACAAACAGAAAGGACGGGCCAAGCCAAATCAAGGGACAGGAAAGGAATCAGTGACCTCCTTGCAGGCAGCGTGAGGGCTTTCTGCAGACACTGGTTTTAGAGCCTGTGGGTCTCAGCCCCAAGTGTCTCCTGGTGCTGAGTGAGGGCCAAGAGCTGCTGAATTATAGAATCATATCACAGAATCAGCTGGGTTGGAAGGGACCTCCGAGATCATCAAGTCCAACCCTTGATCCACTATTGCTGTGGTTACTAGACCATGGCACTAAGTTCCACATCCAGTTTTATCTTAAAAACCTCCAGGGATGGAGAATCCCCCACTTCCCTGGGCAGCCCATTCCAATGGCTGAGCACCCTCCCTGCAAAGAAATTCTTTCTAATATCCAACCTAACCCTCCCCTGGCACAGCTCAAGACCGAGCCCTCTTGTCTTGCTGATGGTTGCCTGGGAAAAGAGACCAACCCCCCCCGGCTCCCCCCTCCTGTCAGGGAGTTGCAGAGAGTGAGGAGGTCTCCCCTGAGCCTCCTCTTCTCCAGGCTGAACAGCCCCAGCTCCCTCAGCCTCTCCTCCCAGCACTTGTGCTCCAGTCCCTTCCCCAGCCTCGTTGCTCTCCTCTGGCCCTGC